ACAGCACCCTCAGACACACATACGCACCCAGACACAAACACCAGACCCAGACACACACAGCACCCCAGACACAGCACCCAAACCGTGACTGCACCCCAGACACACACACAGCACCCACAGACACACACAGCACCCCCAGACCGACACAGCACCCCCAGACACACACAGCACCCTCAGACACACACAGCACCCCCAAACACACACAGCACCCAGACACACACAGCACCCAGACACACACACACACATATACAGCACACATATATATAAAATAATCCTCAGTGAGTTAACAGACAAAGAAAATTAGAAACCTAGAATGTGACAGCAGATAAAAACACCCTCACACACAGCACCCCTCTTACATACACACACTGCGCCCCTCACACATACAATAAGTCCAAATATATATACATATATATATACACACACACACACACACTACAGCACCCCTCACACTGCACCACTACACACATTACGCTCCAGATACACACTAGATCCCTTACCCTATATGCTCTCTTAATCCTCTACACACACACACACACACTGGGTCCTTTACACAGTAGATCTCCTACACACACACACTACATTCCTTGTCAGCAAACACATACAACATTCTCTAAACACACCCTCTCTGCAACCCCTACACACACTACGTCACCTATACACACACACTTCAGCCTGTATGCACACACTCGCTGCATCCCCTATAAAACTATGCCACCTATACACACACTCTCTACAGCCCCTTGCCACACATATTACACCACAAACACAAATGAAATTGACCTATTTACACAATACCACACCACACTCTACACACACGCAATCCCACAAGCAGGCTCCAAACATATGCACCATGCACTTTCCTGGCCCATTTGTCCTCTGATATTCCACTTGTGGAGACACCAGAGACAATTTAAAAGCAAACACAGCACAAGCATGTTATTACATTTGCTTGCGCTGCGCAGAACAAATTCAGGGCCTTTTTCTAATGCCAGAGCTCTTCAGCAGGGCTCTGGGCATTGAACCAACATGCTCACTTTGAGAGGGGGCGTGCTTGTCATTAGTGATGACAAAACACATACTCACTGGCCCCGCCCCCTTCTTAAAATGCCCGGACCTAATTTTTTTCCCATGTTGCCCATGACAGCTTCAGACTAAGATTGACAGACCTGGCTAACTATCTGTTTACTCATTTGGACTTCTGCTGGAAACCTCTACTGTTCCAACTACTACAAGCTGGCCTGCACCACATCCTTGGGAGCCAACTAATATCATCCTCTATCCTCTCCAGTGACCTGCTGTACTGACACCCTGGATGCTTCAAGGACATGGGTTCTGGTTTCGGACATGTCTTATTAAATGGAAAGTTCAGCTCCCAAATACAAACATTTAAAAACAAAATCACTGTTTAGTAGATACACCCCAATACAAATGTATGCATTTAATTATGCATCTTTTCATTGGGGGTAAATCTAAAAACAGCTTTGGTTACTAATCCTCCCGCACCTCTTACCTGCTAGCTCTTGTATTTCTCAGATCCTGATAGTGAAGTGGTTTCTATCCCCAAAGGATACAGGTCATAAAGTGCTTTCCAATGTGTTTTTCTACATGCTTCTTGAGGCATATATTTTGTATTTCTTTGCCTACTAACTAATTTCTATAATACAAATCAACATTCCACCACTAATATCCTGCTTTAATGTTACTGTTTTGAGTTACCTTTTGCTTACATACTTGTACTTTGAATGCTAAATAGAAATACACTCGGCATTCCTAAACTCTCTTCCCCATTTAAAGGGACACTATAGTCACCATAACCACTACAGCTTAATGCAGTTGTTCTACTGTCTATAGCCTGTCCTGCAGGGTTTTCAATGTAAACACTGCCCAGCTGTGCATGGAGGCACTGAATGTTCCCCATATTCCCCATGATTCAGTGGATCTCAATGAGGAGATGCTGATAGGCACAGTGCTGTGTTTTGCCGCATATGCACAATATACTTCCAATGCTTTCCTAAAGGGAATCCATTGGAGGGAATCCATTGGATTGGCTGAGCTCATCATCCATGCCGGGATTGGCGCAGCACAGTGGCGTCGCTAGGGGGGGGCCATGGCCCCCCCTACATGATGCTGTGCCCCCCCTTGGGCCCCCCCCAAATGCTGGCAACTAGCTGGCCATCTGCTTCCCTCGGACTGTAACAGCCTGTTACAGCCGGGGAGGGAATGCAGTGCTGAGGTGCTGGAGGCTGTCTGTGGCTGGAGGGAGCACTGATTGGCTCCCCGGCACAGGCTCCGCCCCCAAATGAAGCCCCGCCTCCCGCCGATAAGCCCCGCCCCCGCCGTTATGCAGCAGCCCATGCTGCTGCTGAAGATGGCTGCCTGACCCCCACAGGTGACAGGTAGGCTGGGGGGGAGGTGTACACACACACATTGCCCCCATACACACACATTGCCCCCATACAGCCTCCCATACACACACACTGCCCTACATACA